GGGGGGGTGAGCGGGGGCGCATGCGCAGTGCCCTGGGCACACATTGGCGCATGCGCATCCGCCGGTTCACGGACCGGCCTGAGAGCGCGGACACGGCGCGGACACGGCGTGGGGGCGCGGGACGGCGTGGGCCGTCATCTCCGGTGGGATGATGTCAGCCCAGACATGTTGATGTCCCCCTCAACGTGTCACCCAGGGTGGGGGCATCACCCCAGGCCGGGTATCATCTCGGACCAGGACACCACCCCAGAGCCATCACCCTGGATGGGGATGTCACCACCAATGGGGACGTCACCCTGTACCGGCAGGGCCCCCCACGAGGGGGGGGTTTCCCGAGGGGACGTCAGCATGGACAGGACATCACCCAGAAGGGGCCACCACCCTCCATGGGGCTGATGTTGCCTTCCATGGGGCAATCACCCTCCACAGTGCCATCAGCCCGGACGGAGCCATCACCCTTCATGGGTGGGCCATCACCCCAGCTGGGGATGTCACCCTCTAGAGGGCCACCACCCTCCATAGGGCCATCGCCCTCCTTGGGGCCATCAGCCCAGTTGGGGTGATTGCCACGGTGCCTTCTCCCTCCATGGGGTCATCCTCCTCCACAGGGCCAGCACCCTCCATGAGGTCATGATCTTCCACAGAGCTGTTACCCTCCATGGCACCATCACCCCAGATGGCGATGCCACCCTCCACAGGGCCTTCACCCCAGATGGGGACATCACCCCAGACAGAACCATCACCCTCCATGCTACCAGCCCCCCATACACTCCTGCCAGCCCCCCTCCACTTTGTTCCTTTTTCTTTTTTTCCTTCAAGTTTTGCGGTTTGATGATTTTTTTTTTCCACCTTCTCCTCCGCCCTTTCCAGCAACCGCCACAGGCAACCTCCCCGCTCTGTGTCCCCAAGATCCGCCACCACCGTCCCCGCCGGCGCCTGTCCCTTCACCTGCCGTCATCGCGCCGGGTGGCCGGGGGTACCCAGTTGTTATCGTGCAAGCCCACCCTGCAACCAGGCGCCTCCTTATCAGGTCTCCGGCAGCACATCCAGTAGGATCGGCCATAAGGCAGGTCATGGTGGTAGGGCTTGGGATGCCAGCGACACAGAGACACGTCCCCCTTCTCGTAATGCTTCTTGCACTGCTTGCAGGGATCGTCACGGTAGAGGGGGTCACAGTTCCAGCGGGAATCGGTGGCCTGCACCCCGAAGGTCTCGATGATGGACTTGAAGTAGTGACAGGAACATTTGAGGGCAGCCAGCGCTTGGGTGGGCAGGTAGCTGAAGATCTTGACCATGACATGCTCTGGCAGCAGGAGCATGTACTGACGGGGCTCCAGCAGCCGCTGGATCTTGAAGCGTATCTCCAAAAAGTCGTGGGAGACGTGACGGTATAACCGGCAAAGCGAGGGGTCGGGGACAGCTGACGGCTCCTCGCCAGCCTCTGTGTCCTCCACTGCCGGTGTCTCCTCAGGGATGGGCAGAAGGAAAAGTGCGGTGGGCCCCTCTGTGGCCCCCCCGCCAGCCGCACTGTCTCCTCCTTCATCTTCTTGGCGCTGTCCTTGCCAAAGAAGACGCATTGGTCCACCACCCCCGTCACCACCACATCCACGTGGAAGCCGGAGGCGCAATCCCGTGCCGATGCTGACACCCCCTCGCTGGTTCCTTCACCCATCTCTGGCTTGACAGCAGTCGCCGACCCCTCGCCACACCCCATGTCCACGTCGGGGCCATCCCCGTCCCCCTTGGGACTGGCAGTGGCCAGGAGGAACTCCACATTGTTGGGCAGCGCATCGCGGGATGGGCTGATCAACTGGTAGAGGTCACAGGTGATCTTGTCCTTGGCACGACCGCCGGCATTACTACTGCCGCTTGCCGTCCCACAGCTCATAAAGACGCAGTTGGGACGCCCAGCAGCACCTGGCTCAGCTGCAGGGGCTCCAGCACGGGGCTCACGGCCGCTGGAGATGCGGAAGGCGATGCGTACCTCGCCGGGACCAGGTGCCGATGATGCTGCTGCCGCAGAAGCACATTCAGCACCCGGGCGGCACAACCCGTTGGGTCGAGTGCCGCCATGCTCCCGCTGCCGTGACTCAAAGCGGGCAA